ATATCCAATGCGGCGAGATAAATAGGCTGATTGTCGCCTTTTGGACGGAATAAACTCGCTAAAAAGCTATATTCTCCTCCGTTTAAAAGGGTATCTTCCGTCAAAGTCCCTGGCGTTACAACACGGACAACATCACGACGCACCAACGCTTTATATCCGCGTTTTTTTGCCTCTTCTGGGCTTTCCATTTGTTCACAAATCGCAACCCGATGGCCTTTGCGTACAAGCCTGGATAGATAATTCTCATACGCATGAAAAGGAACACCACACATAGGGATCTCGGCCCCATCCCTCCCTTTACCACGTTTCGTTAAAGCAATATCTAACGCTTCAGACGCAACAATCGCATCTTCAAAAAACAGCTCATAAAAATCTCCCATGCGATAAAAAAGTAAACAATCTGGGTATTGCATCTTGACCTGCAGGAACTGCTCCATCATCGGAGTCGCCCCTTGCGTCCTTTTTTTCGCTTTTTCCAAAACCTCACAGGAAAGTTCTTTTGAAGCAGATGAAAAAATATGGGGCGTTGTTTGTGACATAATGATACAAAGAGATTAGAGTATAGCAATTATATGCATGTGTAGCATAACAAAGAGGCCCTTGAAACGGTTCTATGCGACAGTTTGTTTCCTTTCTCCTTATTTCTTTCCTAACACTAATTTTTTCCTCAGTTTCTTTTGCGCAAAAAACGCCAAAACTACGTATTGTTGGATCAACCACAATGTACCCTTTTGCGTCTTTCGTTGCGGAACATTTTGGCGTTTTTTCCAAGTTCCAAACACCTATTATTGAAGCAACGGGAACTGGGGGAGGGATTAACCTTTTCTGCACAAGCAGTGCTCAAAATACACCCAGTATTGCAAACGCAGCGCGTGCAATGACCGAAAACGAAAAAAAGTTTTGTAAAAAAAACCAAGTCACTCCTATTGAAATTATGATTGGATATGACGGGATTGTGATTAGTGGCTCAAAAGAATCAAAACCGCTCCATTTAAAAGCAAACCATCTTTTTCAGGCCCTTTCTGTTTATATTCTCAAAAATGGCCAGTTGATACAAAACCCTTACCAATACTGGAGCGACATTGATAAAACTCTGCCGAAAAAACCGATAAAAGTCTTAGGGCCACCGGCCACATCTGGCACATACGATGTTTTTATTGAGCTTGCCATTCGCCCCTTTTGTCCAAAAAATTCACGCTTTAAAAAATATTGTGGGCACTTAAGGACAGATGGCGCTTATAAAGCAGCTAGTGAACACGGTAACGTCATTGCACAAAAGCTCCTTATTGATCCTGAAACAATCGGTGTTTTTGGATATACTTTTTTAGATGCCAATCAAGAACGCTTATGGGGTGCACCCATCAACGGCATTGAACCAACAACCGAATCCATTGCCACGGATCAGTACCCTTTGGCTCACCCTTTTTACCTTTACCTCAAAAAAGAACATCTCACTAGCGTTCCTAGCATAGCGCCCTTTGCCAAAGTATTTTTAGATGAAGAGATCTCTGGCCCTTATACAGCTCTTGCTGACAAAGGTCTTATCCCCTTGAATCCCAAAACACGCCAACGTCAAAAAGATATTTTAGCAAAGAATCAGACCAATAGCATCAGGTAAGCTCCATTACGAATCTATGTTTTAAAGGCGTGTAAAGTGCTATTATTCCTATACTGTGTCACGAGTACCTAAGAGAAAAATCATCGATTTATAGCAAACTGCATACCCATTATTGCTCATCTTCCTGTTATGTTGGCAACAATATCAACACTATTATTTACAATCACGATATTCTGGAAAAAACAGTTTTGAACAAAAGTTTTTAATAACCTCCAAATGGTGCCTTTGGCTTTCTACATTCGCAAGTCTTCTGACCGCTTTTTTAGGCAGAAATGCTTATAAATTACTAGACTATAATTCCCTCACTACTACGCCAATAATTCACCACAAAAACTTCGCAATCTTAAGTTGCCTTCTTTTAATCCTCATGGGGATTTTCATCTGGAAATACCGATATCAATGGGGGAAAAAATACATATTGCTTATAATTTTACTTCTTTCTATTACGACCATGACTACATGGATTACCACTATCCTTGGTGTTAATTCTGTTTACTATGATGTTGGACTTTTGCCTAAATAGATTTCAAAAAAGAAAAAAGCTCTTTTAATCCTTAAATTTTTCCTTAATAAAGAGAGGGCTTTAAAAATTTCATAAAAAACTTTGATTTCTTTCCGCCAAAAACGTAATATTAGCCATTATTAAACCTTTGGAGAGCACGGCACTTTAGCCTATGTTTCTCGCCTTTTTCATCTCAGTCAGTGTGATTAGCTTCTGTGCAGGGCGCTGGAAAATACTTCGCCATCAATCTATCAACAAAAATTCTAAGGCACGCGCACTTCTAAACTACTATGGTTTATACCTTACTTTGTGGACAACAGTTCCGCTTCTCATAGGCATTATTTTATGTCAGTTTGTTGCCTGTCATAAAATTATCCTTGTTGGAGATATTAGCCTCGAACCTATCACATTTTTAATTTTTGTTATCCTTGGATGGTTTTATGGTTGGCCCAATATTCACCCAAACTTTCCAGCACGCCAAGCCCTAGAACGCCTAGTGAAGAATTTCCTGTTTCTTTGCTCCTCTTGTGCCATCTTTATTACATTAGCCGTTGCATTCTCAATGATCTTTGAAACATTGAGATTTTTTCAACAAATTCCCATCCTTGATTTTTTTACCGGCTCTCAGTGGAATCCAACAAGTAGCCTTTCTGGAGTTAAAGGATCTTATGGAGCACTGCCCCTTTTTTCGGGAACATTTCTCATTACATCCATTGCTCTAGTCTTAGCCGCTCCTACGGGCATTTTTTCTGCCATTTATCTTTCTTGTTATGCGCGTCCAAAAACACGTGCTTGGCTCAAACCTGCGTTAGAAATTTTAGCCGGCATCCCAACAGTCGTTTATGGCTTTTTCACAATTGTTGCCGTAGCCCCTTTACTACGTTACTTGGGGTTAAAATTGGGTCTTGATATAGAAGCCGA